ATCAATGAACCTCCATGAGGGCACTGAGGGAACAACTGACCTGACTGCTGTAGCACCCTCACTTGAGGGGGCGAGCTCTCCAATGCCGTACTGTCGCCAGGCGGCAGCTGGGAATTTTGCTCGTCGGAGCTTACTGAGCCCTGAAGCACCGAGGGTGGCAGGGGTATCAATAAACCGTGAGGGCACTGAGGAGGATTGGGCACTGTATACTGAGGTGTTATCCTTTCCTCCCCAGGTGGGCTGCCCTCAGGGACCTGACAATGGTAGGACCATTTAGCTGAGGTCTTCTTAGACAAAATAACGGTTTGCAGATTCGTTTCCGGTCTAGAAGACCCCAACTGAGAGCGTCGCCCCAACCCCCGATCTTTCTGTAGAGGGGTGCGGGTTGCAACGCTCTGTTTTTGAGACTGGCGATATGAGGAGCTCGATGGCTTGGGTTGCTCCCGCTCAGCAGCCCCACCCCTGACCTGCCGCCGTATAAGCTTTGCCAACCAGACTCGATGTAAGCCTAACGGGCCTGGTGGGAAGCTTGGGGGCCTTCAGGGACGATGCTGAGGATGGGGAGAGATAGCTCACAAGCGTCTGCTCCACCACTGGCATCGCCCCATATCCCTTATCATTCAGCCCCACGATGTTCTTTTGAATAATTCGAGACTGTGGGGCTGTAAATACGGGATGAGTACGGTTTCTCCCACGATCTCGACACCTCAGCATGGAGATCGGGGAAAAACGGAAGGCCCCCGTCGTGAAGGCTGTGATCTGGATTCAGAAAACACTCGTCTAATTATTTTTAGGATGAGCGTCTTGTTTCTAGGCTGGCCAAACGATATTTTATTTTGGCGAGTGCACGAAACACACCCCATAATCACACCTCATACGCGAGGGACTGTGGTGGCGAGTCCACAGTCTCCTCTGTCTCGACACTCATCACATCCACCTCCTCGGAGGAAGATAGATGAAGCGTCTGGCTCTCTCTCTCTGGGGGGGTGGGAAGAAACCGCAGCGTGGGTGTAGCGAATCAGCTCATGGGGAAATATGAATAATTAGTCATAACTAGTTATAATTAATTATGAATATTTAGATCCACTGTAGATATTTACTTGACCTCTCAGGGTCAACTGTCTGTCAATTCTAAGAACGTTAATTTCCTGGTTAAGGGAAATAATTTTCTTACTGTACAATTCTACAAAGAGCTTGTAGCATAAATCTGCATGATATCGTGGGCAGGGAGGAACACAGCGTTTGTAATGCCGTTCGCTCACCATATACTGTTTCATGATTGTTTTTTATATATGCTTGTGCGGACAGACAACAGTAAATAGACAGACACATACACAGAGCACTACTGAAGAGCAGAAGCTGGTTTGCGCTCTGCCGGTTGCGCCTTTATATTTTCTGGTGCTTACGTCACCCCGCTCGTGACGTCTCGCTACTCCATTGGACTGATTTCACACGTGCTTCAGAACGCGGTCACGCAGGGGTGTTCCCAAAGCGACTTCGACACAGCTCGAGTTCCTGAAGGGGAACTGGTGTGAGCAATATGAGAGCAAGAAAATCTAATTTTAAAGGTCATTCAGGCCTTTAATAGAAAGTATTGCTTATAGAACTGCACTTGGTATCTAAGATCTGCTCATTGAATATACAGCGTTCTTTAAACAAGTTAAATGAATGTGCTCACAGTCCAAATATGTGGGCAAAAATAAATAAATAAAAATAATAAAGTGACAACATGATGTTCTACCTCTTTAAAAGTTGTCTTTTGTCTTCCTTGAAGATGAAGTGTGTCATTTTTGCACCCCTAGTGTCACTAAACAGAATTGAAAAAAAAAAAGTTGCACAAACAGATAGCCCTGTCCCCATATTCACACCATTGGTTGAGTCAATGTCACTGTGTCAGGATGCTTATTAAACAAAGTAATGTTTTGATAGTGCCGCTGTGTTTACAAAGAAATCAACCGACAGATGGCTTAGTTATAGTTGTCTATAGCTGTCTAAAGTGAGAGTGTTTTACCTTGGGAGAGGGTCCACTGATTGAGCTTTACATGGTACATAATAGAACGCAGCTTCCAGTGCTGAACCAATGGGTAACCAGTGACCTCACTGTAGTTTACCATACCTAAAATAAACAGAGGATCAGAAAATTTCACAATTAATTACAAAGAAATAGCAAGTAACAGAATTAAGCATGAAAATTTAAGTAGAAAGACTGAAATAGTATTTTCTTGTAAAATGTACTCCAGTAAATTGTGTTTTATTTAAACATTCATCAATATTTTTGACCCATTTTCCTGGATGAGAAAGATTTTAAATTTTATATTACTTCATTACTTTACTTTTTTCTGTACTTTTAAGAGCGTGTTAACATATAGATCATCTGAAAGGTAACGCACGTGGACTATAAGCCACCAAACTTTAATTATGATTACACTGGGTCTTTAAAAATAAATGTAAGTTAATTGAAACTAAAGGGTTCTGCTTTGTGCTGTGTTGACAGTTGATGCAGAGTAAATGTGGATCTCTTAATACACTGACAATCCCAGTATGAAATTATTTTGGAATAGTGTTTGCTAATCCTAACCTTGCTCAATTGGGTGCATTCTCTGCTCTTCATGAGCGCATGACTGCATTGCTGCAAAATGCACCCTGATCTACTGTTGCTCCAAAATCACAGTATTAGGATTACACAAAATGAAATGAGACACAAAAACAGTTTTTCTGTCAATTCCAAAATTAGTCCTGAAAATGAATGCATTCACTTGAAACTAAAATAATAATACAGGATTTCTGATACGTTTCTACACATTGAGAATAAATCACACAAATGAAATTTGTTGTGTAAGAAGATAAGTGTTTCACAGAAAATTCTTACCAGAGGATTATTATTAATAGAAGACACAGAGTAGCTCAGCAGATTAGTGTGAATGAAATCCTTTGCGCCATTTTTCATTTATCATTCCAACTCTCTTTAACATAAGAGCTATCGCTTTTTTTTTTTTACCTACGGTTACCCTGTGAGCTAAAATCTCACATATCGCCATATGTTGAGTGGGCTGTGTAATCAATCATCTCGTCTCCTAAAGCAACTGTCAGCCATGCCTTGCCATCTAGGGAATACACAGCCGTGTTTCAATTTAACCCCACCTTAATATATGGCACATCTGGTTGATCGCAAAAATTCAAAGCATATCCGGTCTGCAACATGCTGGTTGGGCATGAGTGCATATTGCTTTCTAAACTTGATCTGACACTTCTTTAAAAATAAAGCCATTCTGTTCTGTCTGTAAAAAATTAATTCTTCTTGATATTATCATGGATTTGCTTCGCTGAATCACTTTAGACCAGCGCTAACATACCAATGATTGATTTGCAGAAATAATGAATTCATAATATCTGTAAGCTGTTGATAGGAGGAATCCCTTTATAAACAGAGCACAGGTGCTAGAGACAAAAGCACTACATCATCAGCTCAAAGCATTTTGTCTTAATGAGCGGGACATTCTCAGACTCTTAATGAGAATGACAGACACTGAGTATGTATACAAGTACATGCTGATACGCTCAATAACCAGACAATATGTAAGGTCATATAAACATCTTAAACTGTTCTTTTATCAAATACTTACATGGTTAAAGCAAAACCCAATTGGCACACGTTTTTGCCTTTTTCATGAGTCAGGCATGGTTTAAAAAATGAAAAGTTCTCATACTAATCCATTAGCATTATGCTAATATGTATACTAGCCTGATGTCGTAATCAATATTTTCATTTTTATTCCATATACATTTTTTTCCCAGCAAGGATGCATTAATTTGATCAAAAGTGGAAAAAGGAACAATAACGACTTTTACATTGTTACAAAAAAAAATAAAAAACATACTACTACTAATAATAAATGATTAAAAAAATCCCGAAAACAGTGAAAAGTTTGGAATAATTTACATTTTTAATGTTTTTAATGTAGTCTCTTATGCTCACCAAGGCTGCATTTATTTGACCAAAAATACAGTAAAACCAGCAATATTATGAAATATTATTACAACTCAAAATAACTGATTTATATTGTAATACTGTATATGTTAAAATCTAATTTATTCCTGTAATGACAAAGATCATTCGTGATCATTCAGAAATCATTCCAATATGCTGATTTGATGCTCAAGGAACATTTCTTATTATTGTCAATGTTTAAAACAGTTGTGCCGATTTTTGTGGAAACTGTAATGCCCTACCATTCAAAATTTTGGGGTAAGATAAAAAAAATAATTTATATATATATATATATATATATATATATATATATATTTTTATTATATATACAGTGGGCACGGAAAGTATACAGACCC